TCCCCCCCCCCCCTCCGAAATTCTAAACGATAGAAACAAAACCTTCATCGAGGATATTTATTTATTTTAATTTAGAGTTTTATATGAAAACCTTGCGCTTATTCAGTTAGTATTTTCTTCTCCGTTTCATATTCAGCCGCAATCCTCAAAAGAATCGTGATTGAATTTATTTTTTTCCAATTTATACATTTTCAGACGATTTTAAAATGTTTTATCATTCAAATTTACATATTAAATTTCGTGCTATAGTACAAACAGTACTGTGCACTGTATTTCAGAATCGTGTTGTCAAAGCGAAAGCTCAAATCGCTGCGTTTTCACTGACCATCCTTAGGCCCAGCGATATTTCAGGGCTCCAAGTCCAGCCTTCTTTTTATCGCAGAATTGCGGATTAACGTTTTTCGGAGTACGCGTAAATAAGTGATGGGTGAAAAAAGCTCGAGAACCAGCGAAGATAAGAGTGTGAACAATATAGCCTCGGTTACAAACTATCTTGGTGTCTAGAGGTGGATATCTAAGGATCTGTGATTTTGTATCATGTAGCCAAAATCCAGAACGCTGACTTGGGCGATTTTCTCGGAGTTTCCACGTGGAAAGTCACGTGAAAACCAAATGAAACCATTGTGAAATACCAATATGAGCGTGGAATTCGAAACAACGCGCACGCTTGTTTTCACGCATCTCTTAGGAAATGACAAGAATCATATAGGTTGTGGATGGTCTCTCGCGGTTAGTTGTAAACAAGCAGGCGGGAAGCCAGCGCGAAACGCGCATTGGCGCCTACAAACCTAACAGGGATACTTCACGCGTTGCGCAATGCGTGAAGTATCCCTGTTAGGTTTGTAGGCGCCAGTGCGTCGCCGCTCTGCTTTGTGTTAGGCACTAATATTTAATCTGGCGGAGTCAGCGTTATTCAACTCATGATTTTGAAATGTTTGCACATCCTGTATGGATTATTCTCATTTTAATTGATGAAAAAAAATATGTATTTAAGGAAAATATAATGTGTGTTTTGTAAATATTAAGGTGGTTCCGTATCAAACTTCATGATTTTCAAAGCACACGAATTTCTACACAATTTCTTATAGCCTTTTATGATCGACGGCGAAAAAGCAACAGCCAGGCGATAAAGTGTAAAGCCCGGGGATAGGAACTATAGCCCGGCTGCATAATTTTTATCGCTTCGTATAGCCCGGTCGTATGATTTTCTCCGCATTCTACAGCCAGCTATACGATTTTCTGTAGCCTTCTTTAGCCGGCTATAAGGATTCCTATGATATTTTGAAACGCAGCTCTTATCGCCAATTTTTACCAGGGAATCAAATGAGAGACTCAAATGAATCAGTGCAGGAGGAAATATTGGATTGCATTTTGCAAAAAGGAACCACTAGCATTCCAATTATGCTAAGATTGTGCAAGTACATCTTTTGCAATAAAATTGCGCAAATCGTGAAAAACCATGAAATTTAGATGGTAATTTTCGTCTTAAATTTACAGTTTTTAGCGAGTAAATTAGAAACTATCAATGGATAATCGGGGTTTTCCTCCAAGACAAAAGAAGTTGCACAATTTTAGCAACATTGCAATGCCAGTGGTTCCTTTTTGCAAAACGCAATCCTATTATTCACGTACGCAATGTCTTATTATATCCGTGCAACATTGTTAAAAACATTTGGACTGCGTTTAACAGAAAGGAGCCAAGCCACATCAGCTTTTGCCAAATTTAAGTGGGCACTTTAATTTTTTACGAGGAAACGTTTGTGCGGATTTTGTTGAAAATTTTAAGGAATTCGCTTCGTACTATGGAGAAAATCCCCCGAAATTCGCATGAAAATCTGCACAACCGTTTCCATGTAAAAAATTAAATTGCCCAGTTAAATTTGGCAATAGCTGATGTGGCTTAGTTCCTTTCTGTTTAACGCGGCCCATTTACCCTTGAGACCCCAACCCTATTATACAAAAGCTAGCTTACCTTCGGGCAAGAAGATGTTAAGGTAGAGGCAATCCTCGTGGAAGACGATCTTCTCGTCCGGCAGGAGCTTGGTGACGAGGCGGTCATGCCTGCGGAGGGCGTCCTCGCTCTGCATGCACGCGTTGCGGAAGAACGTAGCATCACGGAGTCCCTTCCACGCCGGCGGGGGGTCGCTCCTGGGCGGGAGGAAGCGTCGCTCCTTGAGCGGGGGCTCGGCGTACGGGATGCCGAGGTAGGCGATGGCCCTCTGGGACCGCGAGACGGTGATCTCTTTGCCGAAGACGGCGCCTTGGCCGGGAATCGTCACCGTTGGCGGGGGTCGAGCCGCGAAGCACCAGCCCAGCCACACCAGCAGGAGCCACCAGCGCATAGCACCAGACTGGCCGCTCCTCGCCCGCGCTGCGCCCTCACACCCTTGCGGCGGCGCATTCCGCTCCCCTCAGCCGCGCCATCGCCCATCGCCAACGCTCCCACCCCCCGCCCCCCGCATCACCCCCGACGCACGCACGCAACCCTTATCACTGAATCAGTTCGCTTTATCACTGCCGGATCCCGGGTTTTATAGGATGAATGACTTTTCGCTTGGTATTGCGGCTCCTGCGGACTGATAATTGAAATTGATAGACAAAGCTACGGACAAAGAAGACATAGGGAGTATGGAGCGATCCTATTGGTTGAAATGGGTGGTTTCTCCAGACAAAGGGAGAAAACGATAGACTAACTGTCGGGTCTCTCGTGGGTTGCCGTTACTTAGTCTATTACCTACCTCCTTCGTCCATTGCAACCACCCGCTTCCACCAATAGAATCTCTCCATATCTCTTTTGTCTCCTTTGTCTATAGCTTCGTCTATCAATTTCAATAATCGGCCCGCAGACCGCGTCTACTTTCGTGATCTGGTTCTTAAAGCTTCGATTGATCCTTCGATTTAGTGAGCGAGGCTCTTGATCTGATCTTCTACACTGGAAAAAAAAAAACACTTTGGATCTAGAGTCCAGACTCTTGAAAACGTCGACAAGAAAAAGTACTCTTGATTCAACCAGAGTCTAGCTTAAATCAAGAACCAAGCCTCTTAATTTAAGCGGATTTCGTTTTGATTCAAGCAAAAATCCGATTGAATCAAGAGTATTTTTCCTTGTCGATGTTTTCAAGAGTCGGGAATCTAGATCAAATGTGTTTTTTTTTCAGTGTAAAGTGACGTGAAAATCTAATAGAGGTAAGAGAATATCAGTAAGAAAAGAAGTGGACTTAGAGAGCTGCCATGAAGTGTTTAATTGAGGGACACTTCCAGAGCAGTGTAGCGCCACTGGCCGTCATGTAACATGCTAAGGAAGTCAGTTCATCACGTACATTTTTTATTGAAGAGACGAAAAACATGGAAAAGTGGCTGAAACGGGGCCGTGCATCTGATGTACGGCGTTTTGGTCAGTTTTCGGCAGCTCCGCGCGTAGTTTCCGGCCTCTGTTCCGGTACGTTTCTGCTCGATTTGTTTTGAGGAGCGGTGCGCGGCCAGCTTTTTCGGGGCCGAATTTTTGGGCTTAAGATTCGGTCTTGGCCATGGAGCGCCTCGCCCGCTGCTACAAAACTGTTGATCAATCGACGTGCCGGGGTCTAACGCGTGACCAAAGACCCGCAGTCCTACGCGTGAGTAGTTGAGAGTGAAGTTCAAGTTCTAGTCAAAGTTTTAGTGCGAAGCCGCTTTGAAAGCGAGGGCTCAAAGTCGCAAGTGATAATATATGAAGTCAATCGTACCAGTTTGTTGTTCCGGAGCTCTACCATCACCCCCACCACCTGAGCAACACCGCCCCCCCCCCTTACATGGTGGAGGCCAAAGGCTGAAGATCAAGAATCTACAGGAAGACCGGCACCAAAGGAACAACTCAGCTGCTACATGAGACTATTTTAAGGTAGAAAATATATTTTTTTCTGCATTGTGTTGTTTGTCTTATATATTTTTTATCAATTTCAGGAAAAAACAAATAAAATTTTTTTCTCTTTTGTTTGCACCGTTTTTATCTTGTTAGGAGTGTTGTGATCCTATCATGGCCTTAGAAAGTGCGCTGTCGAAATCAGGTTGACAGCATAGCAATGACGTCAACGAGTGTTTACTCGTTGGCACATCGCATCTCGGCCGTGTTTCGGCAGCGCATATATAAGGCCATTGCATCCTCACAGAGGAGAAATTCTGGCGCTGATAATTGAAGCTCCACTATCAGCCCGGGTCCTTGGTTTGGCGAATTTCGCTAGAACCTCTCCTCCGACTTTGCGAGCACTCGCACTGGGGCTCCCGCTTAAAACGGTAGGTTTAGATTTTCAATTATGGGAGATAACCCCGATCCCTATTTATAATAAAATTTCGAGATCTTTCGTCCAATTAGATGTAGGTAATTTCCTCCTGGTAGCCTCGGATTTTAAAGTTTATACTGTCCTTGGTTATCAGGCGGTTAACTCTTGTAAAAAATCTGTAAATATTACGGTATGTCCTACTGAGTCTCCTTAATTTTCGAGTTCTGTTATTACACGCGAATTTTCTTTATTTAGTTCCAGGAACTCTAGCTGTTGCCAAAAAAAGGTACTGATCGGGCTGTCGAGTTTCTTTGAAAAAATTAAGAGCGAGTGGGTTTTTTCGGTAGACAAACCGACGAAAGTGGGGATTAAGTGCGGCACGGGCCACGAGTTTCGAGAGTTGACAGGGGCAGGAGTGCTGCGTGGTGTAAAGGAGTGAGTTCAGATGAACTCATGTTGCTCGGAGGAGCGAAGTTCACCCGTGAAATGGGTGGGATTTGGAACGACCCATTGATCCCTTCAGTCGACGGTACTGAATTGCTCTCTCGCAATGAAGAGGAAGCGCTGCGGGAAGAGGAGAGAGGAACGTTGTGTAGTGGTACGGCTAAAACCTTGGGGTTTTACCGTTCCACTAAGAGGAAATATACTTGTTCGTGCGTTATCACGGAGTTTTCACGGGCAAGGTGGGTCAAGCGTTTCAGACGGCGAGGTCATTTTGAGACGTGTTTGTTTTGAGCCGCGTCCGAAAGTTCCGGGACGAACCGCGGTCGCGGAAAGGCGGAGCTTTCGCGCGCTGCTTAAAAGAAGCATGGAGGCTTTGGCTCGTGGTCAGTCTTGAGTCTTCACGCGAAAGTTGGCCCGGTCAGCCCCTGTCAGAGCAGCGAGAGCGTTCCCCGGCAAATCGGGTTTTCATTGGTATAGTGTTGTTTGTAAAAATAGAGGTTTCCACACCGAAAGTGGTCTAGTTGTTTTAGTTCCTTAGTTTTAGTATCCCCCCGCACTTCAGTACAGCCGTAATAGCAGTGATTATTTTAGCATTTAAATTAAGAAGGGTTACATCCACGACTATTGGGAGTCCGTCTGCAGGACGATAGAATCGATTATCTTATTCTTACCTACTTTTGTTACCAGTTTTTTTTTTTCATATTTTTACTGTCATAAAAGGATGGACAGTTTTTCCGTCTGTTTTGTCTGATATAAAATGGCGGTGGTGGATGGCGTCGAGTTTCGACCCCCTCCCCTCCTTTCCAAGAGACAAGGGAATGAGGGGGTTAGCTGTATGAAAATCAAATAATTAGGACTAAGGATTGTATAAATATGAGAATATTCTGATGGTTTGAGTTTTAAAAAAGGCTAGAAAATATCGAAGTTGATGCAATGAACCACACTCTTTTAGAGTGCGTGGGTGCAGATTATTTCTTCTCAGATTCCATTTATTATGTGTCTTTTATTCTGTTTTTTTTATACTGTTTTTTTTCTCTGTCTTTTATTCTGTTTTTTTTTTTTTTCATCGTTTCAGAAGTCCTGCTCGGAGGGAGTTTCCGTATGCCGTCCTGGAAGGCACATCCCTGACGAGAAGACGCACTCAGAGTCCACGCATCCTCAAATGCATTCTTTGCTCTTGCATTCCTTGTCAGTTCTGTATTTTATTTGCGTTTTTATTTTTGTTTTTAATTTTTATCATTTAATTATTTATTTATTCATTTATCTATTTGCTATTATTATTATCCGAAACCTTCACTTCACTTTCTCTCAATTTTCTTACCAATTTTTGTTTATTTTTTTATCCGTTTAAAGTGGTTTTTTATTGTAATACTGGCTGATACATGTTAAGTTTAAATTTTTAAAGACCCGTAAGGTCTGAAATGAGTTGTAATTTACTTTTCTTTACTTACAGATAAGAAAGAAAGAAAAGAAGAATAAAAAAAAGGATGAGGAGAGCTAGCGATGAAACTCTTTTCGCGAATGCTTTATTCAGAATTTTAAGAGGGGGACCGCTGAACCCCAACAAATTTCTATGGGCAACGTATAAGCAGTGGAAAACTGTACGTGTCACGAATTGTGCCCTCCTGTGCGCCCCTCCGTCAGATCCGGCTCCCAAGGAAGTAGAACGAGGATACATTTCAGAGGAAGGAGTTTTCAATTTTGAGGAGGCGTCGTTGAAACAGGGCCGTACATCTGATGTATGGTCCTATTTTGGTCGCTTCTCGACTACTCGCGCATGAGATTGGCGACCTTACTACCCAGCACATTCTTGCTTGATTTGTTTTGAGTAGCAACACGAGGCGAGCTTTCCGGGGCCGGATGGACGGGCCCGATATTGTGGTGGAATCGGTTAAACACCTGCGAGGTCTTTACCGATCCACTTGGAGGAAGCTGGTTTGGGGACTTGGCAAATCGTGAGAAATCGCGGACTCCCATGTTAGTGGCAGGGTCAGGCGTGTTAGATGCGAGTTTTCGCTGGCAGGGGCGTAGCTAGGAAATTTCTCTGGGGAGGGCCATGGGACCACCTCTCGTGGTGAAGAGAGCGGGGGGAGGAGGTGAGGAATGGAGGATCCCGTTTTTCTGGGGGGCAGGCCCCCCCAGGACCCCCCCTAGCTACGCCTATGTTCGCTGGAAAACGAATTTTCTCTGTACAAAATTTTTGCAGTTCCATGGTTCATTCCGGACATTAAACAATTTGCGAGTTTTTCCGTCAATGAGTACATTTTATTGGACAAACTGGTACACCGAGGAATTAGACTTTAGGTTGAGTATTTTTTTTTTTAATTCTTATTTATGTATTATCATCACTTCATCTTCTTTTTTTCGCTAGAAGAAGACGGGAGAGCGGTGAACCGAGAGCCAAAAGTATCAGGACAGCAGGAGGACAGTGACGGTCAACGGCTGGACTTAGAAAAATTCTGAATAACGAGCAAGATAGAACCTGTAAAAATTCTCTAAGTCCCACCAGAAAAGTGGACTTAGAAACATTTTGGAGAGATTTGGACTTGGATGAACTTGGAAAAATTCCCTATATATTGTGGGTAAAGTCAGTGGAGAATACCAAAATAACCTGAAACTACACCTGGCCACCAGGGGATTTTAAGGGAAAAGGTCAAAAAGGATTGAGTACGTGGTCTAGCGTCGAGGAGAAGGGATACGGACCAAACAAGAGTGTCAGTTGAGTGGTTTTAACAACTCATCGGGCACTGAGAGACTTAAACGCTGCGAAAAAGTAGGAAAAAAGACGAAAATCGCCGATATCTCGGAAACTAGAAGAGATAGGAGAAAAAGGAGATCGGAAATTCATACCTACGGTATAAACCTACTTAAAGGAGACCTAAAAGAAGGACCAAACCCAAAGGCGCAGAAAAGATATCCCCCCCCATCCTATCCCACCTCCAGAAGAGCTGATGGATGTATTACTAGAAAACAA